CTGGTGTCACAACATCTCTTAACCACATGCTTCATCATTCCTACAGCAAAGATGCGCTACACTTTGCATGCGTCGAGATGGCAGCTGAAACGCTGCAGATGAGGGCGTGCTAATATCACATAAGGGAGAAAAGTAGGCACCGATTAGTTTGTTACATGAAGGACCAAGGTGCTTGTAGTACGAGCTGCGCCCAATCAGTTGACTGGTCAATCCGGAAGATCGATAAGTAAATTTGAGAGGAAATAATGTGTGAAACCAAAATGGGTGAATAAGTTTCCATGGCAAATCAGTGCATCTGTAACCATAAAACATCGGACGCGCTTGAATCCACCAAGACACGCTATGAGTCGTAATACATGAAGGGAGCACAAGGTAGTGTGGAGCACTCTCGAGTAGGCTGTATAGCTTTTTTAGTTATTGTGGCCGCACCTACAGTTAGCCGTCTTCACTCTGTCTTGCTGTTGGAGCAAGGTTGGTAGGGGAGGATAGAGTGCGTTACTGCTATATAAGCCTGACTCACTATAAATTCCCGCGCTAGGCACCACTGTGCCTACTCTTCAGCCAGTCAAGGGTATCGCTTCAAACTACATGTGCCCCAAGGACGATTGGCTACGAGGAAGCATTTTTTTCTCTTCTCGGTCGTGGGTCCGTGGAATAACCAACCTGAGGCGATTGTTATGGCCCCATCTGTGGAGACATTCGACCAACGACTTAATATACATATGCTGTAGCACAACGGGAACCATGCGACTAATGACCATTAAAACACCAGTGGTAAACTTGACTCCGTGTACATTCACCTGGCTGTTACATTGTTTCTAATTCGTGATATTTTAATGTGAACAATAGGAATTTCAAAGGCGTAGTACTACTTTCCGCAAATACACTGACTACTATATAAGCCTGCCTCACTATAAAGTTCAGCGTTAGGCGACACTGCGCCCACTCGTTGGGGTCCGCGGCTGACACCTTCGCTTGCGACGAACGAGTTTGTCGCGTAATCCTGTAGTATATATCATATAAGTCTACAGCCACTGACGACGACCTATTGAAGGTACAGAGGCCAGGCAATTTATTTACCGACGAGAAGCCTCGGTGTTCACTTGCAGGAGCAGAATTTCTAAAGGGCACTTTCACCTGGCTCTTTGGCGCCTACGTTATTTTCTTAGGAAAATCGACATAGGTAAGCCAAAGCTTCCCTACGTTCCTGCTGCAATAAAAAAAGATTGGTAGGAGACCGCTCGGATACAACTTTTATGACCTAAAATGCGATCGTTGCCGTGACTGGGGATAATTTTGGCCTTCTACTGACTTCGCTACAAGGCTACCGGAAACCCTTCGCTTGTGAATTTTAGATCTGAAAGTAAACTTTCTAATTCTTGATGTGGTCGTTCGACTTGCCAACACTTTCTGGTACCAGAGGTGGCGTTGACTTAACAAAATCATGTTGTTAATTTGAGAATTCGAACGATGTTACTCTCTAGTTACTAGAAGACTACTTCAACAAGTAGATCTGATCTCGAAGACCACGTTGAGGTTTCCTTTTCTTGTTATTAATGCTTGTTTTCGAATTGGCAGTAATCCTCGGAAAGAAGGTTGGCTACCCCCTCCTCTTCTACGGCCATCATTTCCTGACGCCTGTCGTACCATCACACACGCATCTGTCCCGTTTATGTAAATGAAATGACAACCGAACAAGTATCTCCTGTATTTGATAAAAACCTGGAAATACAATCAGCAAGTCCTCTTTGACGGTGTGCAGTGACGCGATTCCCGAAACTATCTCGGGAAGATCAGTTAATTCCTCAACGATGTTTACAGTGCAAAGTCGGAGCGTTGTCTCATCTTAGAGTCACAATAGGAAATTTCAGATACTTTCCGCTAGGTGTGAGGAAGACAGCCTCCGAGGGCAAATGTTAAATGTCTTACCAAGCACCTGCCTAGCCACTGGCTCTAAGACAATGCAATTTAAAACCTGACCTGAAACAATTGCACAATCTCAAGTCAACACTTAGGATTACGGTGGGGGATGTGTCAAGGACCATAGTTGTCACTTGGCAGTAGAACTGCATAGAACGTTAACAGTCTCCTTAGTCCCCATCTACCAAGCATTGGTTAAGCCGAAAAAGTGAGGGGCGTAGTCTGCAGCTTTGTCGACTTTTAGGTCGCTTCGACGGCAAATAAAGGAAATACAACAACAGGCCACATTTGCCTAAGGGACCATCGCATCTGGTTAGCCTTTCAGTTGTCAGCGCACTTAATCTGAAACCCGATAGTGCTTATTTGTACTTAGTATGGCTTCGATCATGCCGGTCTCGATTATTTCACGAAACATATCTCTCTAGACATGGCGATCTTCGATAACAGATCTTGATGGTTCAATCCACTCTCTTCGCCAGCGACTAGGACCGAATACCAAAGGTCCAACAAAAACTTCTACGTCTTTTACGAATTGTGTGAAGTCCGGTTTTGCGTTGAGCCCCTCCTCGACGTTTCCAAATGGAAAACAGTACCGGATCGAGGACAACATTGAGCTCTTGAGGTGGACGACGGAGAACGTGCCAAGACCACAGTCGTCTTGCTTCGATGGACTGAGATATTCTTAATCTTGTTCCAAGGTGTACACGGTATCATTTGAGATGCAGTCTGTGTACCCTAATCAAAAGATGGTCCTCGAACAGCAGGAATTATATAAGTCCAGTTCTTGCTCATCTTCGATGAGAATACCCCACCATTCACAACCATTGAGGACTGAAAGGACAACTGCACGGTACACACGAAACTTTGTGCCAATGGAAGCGTCGCGTTGGATCCATAAGGATCTTCAAAGACTTGAGAAAACCCAGCGAGCAGCGCCGAATCGGGAGACGATGTCATCCTTACCATAACATTCAATCAACAGTTTCCCCTTGAGGTATTTGAAACCGTCTACTTCTTCAAGTAGACAGCCATTAATCTCGACAGGTGCGTTCTGGTCAGGTGTGCGACTGAAAAATACTGGTCTTCCAAACGCTCATAAACAAATCGACCGATGTAGCAATCTCCTTCATCCGGAAGTTTTAGATGAGATGGATAAACAGCATGGCCCTATTCGCGTAATCTTAATCCTCAGAATAATTTCCCAAAGATGCTCTGCATATACACAGTAGCCTGCTTTTAAGTGACGGTTCACGCCCAACCACAAAGAACCCGATCTACAGAAAAAAGGACATGTCTTGCAGGTTTTTTATTAACAAGTCAAAAAATCCCAATCAGCCTTCAGAAAGACACAGGTCGAGCACCAAGGACAGAGGTTAGAGGGAATGGGTCAAGGTGGCAGGTTCTGTGCAGGCAGCTTGGCCACAAAGTGCTCTAGCAGATCACGAATGATTGGGAAGATGACGGGGTACTCGCGCTGGTTACGAGCCTCCACTTCCTCTGTATAGACCGCCAGGGCGTGGCTGATGAAATTGAGACGGGCGGCTTCGTCGGGTGTATTTAGGACCCAGTGTACGTAACGTGCCAATGA